ATTACCATCCTTTCCTGTCCATGGCGAACGCGCTTAATGGTGAGAAGTTGGCCTCAAGAGAGGACTGTGAAAATTGGCTCTTCGAGTTTTTTGTCAACAGGGACGCAGCCTTCTACGAGAGAGGTATATTGAAGTTAGCATCTCTTTGGCAACAAGTTTAGAATTAAAACGGTTCATATTTCACTTAAATCGGAGAAATGCACAGAAAGTTATCATATTTTGAAAAATTAATAAAAAACCGAACGAACTTTTTACCTGATCAAATATTTAAAATTAATAGGATTTTTTTATTGAAGAGAGATTTTTTTTTCCTTCGACAAAAATTCACTCGCCCGACGCTTAATTTACTTAATCCGATTTCGCTAAATCATAGAGCACACACAGGAGTACGGACAAAATTATAACAACTTTTTCTAATGCCAGCCAAACACCCATAACATACAGACACACAAGCGCCGACAAAAGAATAAAAGTTTTCACAGAAAATTTGTAAATAATTTTCGAGCACACACACACACACACACGTGTCCACCGCCAACAGCAAATATTAACTACGCCAACTATAGAGAATAGAACAAAATTAATGTCCATACAATACCTGTCATCAGGTGATTGCCCAGCTGTGCGTGCGAAATTCTGTTTTCTGTTTTCTATTTTCAGCTTGCAACTTTCAGCTCTCAACTTTCATTGTGTGGAATTTGGCAAATTTTGCGCTGTCGCTCAAACTACCTTTGTGGCAGAATATTGCTATTGTAATTGTTTTTGTTGCAGGGTATTGGAAAATTTTGTAAAATTTGCCACAGAAATTCGCCAGCAACATTTTGGCCACATTTTACAATGAAATACGAATTTCGCCAGCCAAAGCCGAAACCAAAGCATTTTGCATATTATTAACTAAATAACCAAATGTGCGCCAAAAGCAGGCGAACAACCAACCGACGAACTCAATACGCATTGTGCTTGATACACCTAGGCGCTGCGAGACATTTTATGTGCACACACATACACATATACACGTACATAGAAAGACACAACATTTATGAAATTATTGTGCTGATGTTGCCTGCCGCCTGCCGCTTGCCGCCAGCTGACTGCGGCTGGGTTTTACGTAATTTATGGCTTTCGCATGGAAAAATGCTGAAACTGCCAAATGCCAGCTGTGGCGGCCATGTAGAGCAGCAGCAAGTGATGGCAGCAGCAAGTGATGGCAGCAGCTGTGGTGGCGTAAATATACGTACGTAAATATCGTCTGTGGTGGACGGTGACAGCAGCAGCGTTGGCACAACTGATTTGCTTTTTCGGTTTTTGGCTGCATGATTTTGGATTCCTGATTTTTGAAAATTTATGAAACGTGCAATCTGATGAGTGGCCGAGTTTAATTTCCTGATCGGTTTTCAATTTAAAATCTTCACGCGGCGGCCGCTAGGTTCATTGCGTAGTAGTCGTGTAGTAGGAAATTTCAATTTCAATTTTCATTTAATTTTTTTTTTTTGTTTTTTTTTTTTTTTATTCTCTACCGTTACACCGCTATTGGTTTGGCACAAGCTTTGGTCACTACAGCGAGTGGCATTTAGACAGCAACGCGCGATTGTCACTTGTCACGCGTGTACGAGTATATAAAATTACACCAACCGCCAGCCGTCATGCCCACCTCGACACTGAGAGCCACCCACATGCCGCTGTGTCGCATTTGAACCACAAACATTTACAAAGCTCTTCGTTGGTACGCATTGTTATCATTAGAGGCGCGTATTTTTGGTTATGCTGTTGGTTTTGATACAAACAAACATACATAAATTCCAGCAGCAATACCCACTACTCTGTCTGCATGTACATATATATATATATTTGTACATAGGTATGATGCTCCAAGTTTTGATTGTTGTCATTGGCTCGCTGTTGCTTGTCATCAGTCCTTTCCTCGCTCTGCGCTAATTTGCCCTTTCCACTGTCCACCACTTCAGCAGCCGTTTCCAGTACCACATTGCCATTTCTAATTACTCAACGCGGGTTTTGGGCAACAATTTTGCACTCATTAGTACTCGTATATATGGGACTGTTCCGCTCATTGCATATTACATTTGCAATTTTCGTTCTTTTGCAAATTGAAATGTTGAATCATTTGGTGCCGTTATATGAAATGTAATTGGAAATTGTCAGGTATGTGTGGCAGAATTAGATTTTGAGGGCAGTAATGAACCTGTGGGGAGGTTTTAATGACTGTTAAAAGCGACGGAGAGATCCTTGAAAGCTCCTTGAAAGCTCCTGACAGCGTCTGTTCAAGAGAAGTACGGCTATGTGCAGAGGTCGTTTTGGAGCACGCGGTTTGTAATATAAGTTTGTGCTAAATTCTACTACTTCGTCACCTGTAAACCAACCAAAACTAAAGAACCGCGGGTGAGAACTTCCAAATTATATGACGACCATCTGATGGTCCCTGTTGAGGTCCCTTCATTATTAGAGCGCTGATGCCCAACTGATAACTGATTTCAGTAAAGGTGAGGCTCCCCTCACCGCTGGCCAACAGAGTTGTTAGACGAAGCAAGGATAGAAAAGGTGGATTCTTAAAAAACCAAAAATATTTTATATAAAGAGCGTAAGTTTAATATGGGCTACTTGGTGGAGGAGACTCGAAGAGTCAGAGCGTCCTGGGCTCCACACAGATAGATTAACGTCCATTCACGAACCGCATCAAAACAAAGTCCTTTTATTTATTGCAAAAAAGAGGGCTTTGCACTTCACTTGCTTGCCGACTTTAACTCTAGAGTAAGCTAACCATCCTTGGCAAAGGACATCCCAGACATCTCTGAACGGTCCGTGGCAGACTCGGCATAGAAGTTTCATCAAGTTATATGACAGTCACCGCATCGAAAATCGCGCAACCAAATGCATCGTTTTCTGATAGACAAAAGATTTAATCATCAGATGCATCCGAACAGTCTATTTTCTTCTGTGCAGTAAAAGACTTGCGCAGAGATAGAAGCAAAATACGACATGGAAAAGTTAAAACCACAACAGACAACGACGAGGTTCTCTACTTGATTGAACTCCCACGCCCTGAAAGCCATCGTCAACAACTCGTTATAAGGGAACTGTAGGAGGGCTTTTCACTTTTGATATTTGGCAGCTTCGAAAAAGAACTGCTAGGATGAGGATTGACAATATCGAGAGCTAAGAGAATAATCTGTAACGTATTTGCATATACATGGGAGAACTGAGAGGTCAAAATTAGTGAGTATGCAGAGCTTTAGAAGCTGGCAGGCAGGTGTGAGGAGAAAATTCACAAACTGTCAGAGCTTTAGCTCACTACTCAAATCCGTGAAGTCAGGACGAAATAAATCCTGCCACCAAATGAACAGCAAGCTACGTGAAACCTTTAAGATTTACGTAAGCTTTCCTATCTAAATACGAGTATAACACCAACAACAATGTCAATCAATACTAAGCATAACCACCCTCTCCAATTTGTGCTACGTTGGACTGAGTAGACAATTGAAAAGTAAAGTCCTCCCTTGATGAATAGCGAAGAAACTCTACTAGTTGACACGATGAGCTGTATGAGATATACAGCTGTTGACGACTAATTAGAAACGCTCTCATCTTGAAAGCAAAATAAAAATTTACCGTTATATTTTCTTATTAACGACACTTGTAATGTGTTTTTAATCTATTAACTACTCAATGCCGCGACATTTGTAGTTGTGCATTTTAAGTACTATTATTTTTTTCCCACATTGATCATGCGTTACTTGGTGTAAAGAAAATTCATTCTTTAAAAGTCAAGTAAAAATTTTATCTCAAGATTTGTGATTGGAAAACACAGCAGATGCACACCTTCATTACGCAGTTCAAGTTTTGATTGAAGAAGATGATTTTTAATGCCTTCAAGAATATCCAGAATTTTAAACTTGTTGCAAATGCTGCACCCAAAAGAAAACCCCGGAAATACTTCAGACGAATAGATCACAGGGAAAAGCAGTGATCTCGCGAAGATACCCAAAAATAAAGTTCCTCGTACATTTAATGTAAAATTCAAATATTGGGGGAACAATTGGACGGCGTTGGATTGAATTTGGGCTCAATTGAAGAGCAGCACGCAAGAAAATCAAAGTCAATCCAAAGCCCATTCTCATTGGTGTTGAACCCTAAAGCAGTTGAAGTTTGTCATTTGGAACTATGAAATGAAAATAATCGCATTTGTCTGATGGTCGCAGGTATATTCGACAGCCTTTAACCAAGATTTTAATCCTCGTTATGTTTCACGCTTATTGAAGCATTGTGGAGGATCAATCATGGTATGGGGATAATTTCCTTTAATGGTGTTGGTCCATTCTATGGATAAATAGAATTTTAAATAAGGAAAAATACGTCGAATGGCCATCATGCAGTCCAGACTTGAACCCTCTAGGGTAACGTTCAAAGATTCGTTAGTATGAAAAATAACCTAAAAATGGTTGTCCGCGCGCTGTCAAAATTTTACAACATCAATGCGAAATCGGTGTGAGGCAGTGTTGAAGCAGAAAAGTTATGAAAACAAATACTAACTAAAAGTAAACATATTATCTTTATATCCTTATTTTTTTCTAATAAAATATTTTCGTATTTAATTAAGTGTCGCTCTCAATTCATCGATTTCACAGATTTTTGAAAAAAAGATATCTGAAAATAAATTTCGAATGAATTGCTTTGAATATCATTTCAAGTTCTTTACTTTAATGGACAAAAAGATCATTCAATTTAAAATAAGCATGGTTTCCAATTAGCGGTCAACAGCTGTACATAATTTGAGAGAGCAAATAAAAATACAAATTCACATTAAAGAAGGTCCTAGGAAAATCATTTTTAAATAAATAAAAAATTTACCTAATTGTTTTTATTAAAAAAAAATATAATATTTATGTTAGAAAATTTTCTTAAATTTTTTTTCCACATATTTATCAAAAGAGTACAAATTTAAAAATTTTCAAATATTTATATATGTATTCTCACTTTCAGATGTAACCAATTTAGAATATGTCAACGTGGTCGCTGAAGCCGGCAAGAATGTCACTATTCTCTGTCCGGGCGTTTCCGAGCATTCGCTTGTCGATACCTTAGTTTGGAAAACCTCAACAACAACAATAGCGCAGTTCGCAAATCGAATACAACATTTACATAGTCCAAGGGTGAGTAGACGAAATCCAATTACATTAAACGAATTGATAAATAACAACCTAAACCAAATTTGGTCCCAAAAAATTTGAGGTCTCAGTCATTCAGCCAATAAATCAAATAATTCAACAGAACAATAATTTAAGATGTAAAGATGGGCGGAAAAACATTTTATATCGATTCTTAAGTCGGCTCATTTGATTTCTAATAAAGAAAATAAAGGTTATAGCTATGATTGTAAAAGTTTCAGTGCCAGAAGAACTCGCCTGGAATTTCCTTGTATTAAATAGAAGAACTCAACTTTAAATTGTAGATGGGCTGGGTACCGTGAAACCTGTTTGTGTCAGTGTCAGAGGAAGGAAAGCAGATTCTTCGGCATTCCAAATCTAACTCACTGCTTTGCAGCCTGCTTTGGTGGTCAGAGTAGTTACCCGCTAATTGCCTATTTTTCTTCGCTAAAGAGACTTTCGGGTAAAGAGACTTTCAATTTTATTTCGTAGTTTGCTTTTTCTCAATTATTTTGACAGCACAACCCAAAGAGCTCCTGTTTGCGTTGGCCTCACTAAATTCCACAAGAAATGTCACGATTTATACTTCTACCATAAAGACTACCCTGTAGAGTTCAGAGAACAAGAATATGATTCTACGAACAAATAATGTTTTTTCCTTCCCATCACAGCCAACTGAAAGTTATGGTACAGAATATTTCATTGTAAACTTATCATCAAACAGCCCACTGCGCGGCGCCCTACCTCTTGGTGTAGAGTTTTAAGGCTGTGACTTTTAGCCAATCTTTTGGGAAACCTAAATGTTAGTATTTTGAGATAGAAGAAGAAATAGATAATTTTGAAAGATTCATGTATTAAACTGATAATATCTGACTCTTGAGGTATAGAGGTGTCCTCAATGCTTTCCTTAGGGTACTTTTCTCAAAGAAGCTGACCTAAAAGAATACTTCTTGGAATCGATTTGGAGAAACATTGAAACCAATCGATCTGAGTTGGTAGCGATCTTTTACGTACGTTTTGCCAATGCCATACCATGCAACCCATGAACTGACCCATAAATTATATCGAGTCTTACTTAAACAGCTGTTTGAGTCCTTGAATAGCGCTGGACTTCTTGAGTATAAGTTTATTTACTACGTTGAGGACTCATGCATCGTTAACTTATTTCAGTCAATTACTTGGGATAGACTCTCAGCGAATCTTAGATCTATCTTAAATGGTTGGTTTCTTCTATAAGCGATTTCCATCTGATGAAATATATATAGAAGGGATAAAATGTAAAGGCTTTGTGGCTAAATTTCGGTCTCACATTGATTTGCCTTATTGTGTTGATGGACTGGAAGAAGCCTCAATACCTCTGGTCGAAGGTCGGCCGTAGTTTCACAACTTTTGTAATCAGCTCAAGCTGGAGCGGAATCTTGCGGGTCTCCAAAGCGAAAACATATTTGAGACGTCCATTTGCCTAGTGGAGCAGAGTACTGTACTTAAATGTATATATATATATATACATATATATTTACCATAAATATATATATATTTACTCAAAATTAATGCAATTTACCTCCATAAGTCTCACTCGCCCGGCAAACTTTGTCAACAATTTTCGGCCATAATATTTCATTTAATCGCTAAATCTTCTATCTGCACAGCGAAGAGACACCTTAAAATAGTTGTACTCAATTCCCGTGTAAAGTACTCACACATACACACAAATGCAACTTCGTTTATGCCACTAAATCAACTCCGCCTGTGTGTGGATACAGCTCCTGTTAGGCTGTCAACTAATACCGGCTGTAAGTTTACCCAGTTAGTTAGTTGATAATGGCATTAAAGCACCACTACCGCTTCCTACACGTGAGCACCGTCACCAAGCTACACACACACGCGTACGGATGGAGTTCAACTGCTGACAGCAACTCTGGCGCCGTGTCGTCATGTATTATACCTGCATGTCTAGGCGGCAGCAGCTCGCCAAAACCCATGTCCACAAATCATTAGTTTAGTCCATAAAACAAAAGTTAATAGCTTCCCAAGGGGTCGAAGGAGCTCTCGAAGCTCTAAAGAGCAAAAAAAAAAAAAAACAAAAAAAAAGCTTAAAACAACGCAAAAGGAATTTTCCGCACGAAACTCCATGGTACACAATCGGGTAGGCATGAGGTGCTGAGCAGAGGATGGTGTATAATCATAAGTAAAGGTGAGAAGACGCACTTGCATGTTTAAATAGTTATGCCGGCTGCAGACGAACCGGAACACAACTGAGTTGGGCTTACGTATGGGCAGGGCAACCACAGTGGGACGACAGCCCACTTGCTGCTGGTGTAGCAGCGCAATCGAAATGACTCCGAAAGTGCAAAGTTTTACAAGGCGGCCACTGAAGTCGGTAAACCGGTGAAGCCTGTTAGGGAGTATCCTTATTATATTTATAAATACCTATACGTGAAGGCATTTTCGGCTAGCTCCTTCATCCGCCGCTTGTAGCCGCAGTGGCCTGCTCAACACCAACTGCCTTTGCTGGCTTCCAGTTTAAGTGTCCCTGTATGCTATTTAACACATGCTTGCCGCAAGGACATGTAAAACTAATAGTAAACCCGCATGTCCTTGTTGTGTGTGTGTGTGTGTGTGTGTGTGTAAAATTAAATGCCTGTAGTAACGGCAGTTTCATGTTGTACGAACATAATTTCTGCCAAGACTTACCAATAAATGGTGCAACTCTCCAGTGCACTTTTAAAATAGTTTCGGTAAGGATTTCAGCAGGAGCTTCAATGTTCAATGTTCACAGGACAAGGGCAAGTTGGCTGCACATAAAAGGGGACATTTAATGAAAAGAAGCCATGATAATAATGTGTGCCAAAAACTTTTCAACCATTTTCCCTTAATGATGAACATTATGAATATTTATTGAAAGACAAGTGACCCAGCGAGGATTTTCGAGATCTTTGTTGAAGTACAGGCTGGGAAACTGTGCGCATTAAAAGCTCCTTCATTGAACTTTTGATGCTTTCATTTTCTTTTGGCGAGTCCAAAAGTCTTGGGCTCTAATCATTACAATGTGCCTTCATTTATATTTACTAGGAGATCTGCTCCAGACTTCAACAACGCAAGTTTTTGCTCAACTGCCGATTGGTTTATAATCTCTTTACGAAATATAAGGTTTCATTTCGGTTTTTCAATGTTAAAACGCTGCTCAGCTTCGTGAAAAGTCTAGATGTAGAGAGCTTTATTCGAAGAAACTCCACACGAAGCTCGTCCTTTCATTCGGACTGCTATGTTCCCCTCCCTTTCATTTTCCAGAAAGGATCTGGGAGATCTCAAGGATATACCTAAGAGCGATTTTCTTTTTAAAACCAGCCTAAACCCTTCTTTTTCATAGCACCAACTAAGTTAACTACAAGGAAAGGACAGTTGGAGAATGGTAAGACACTCGACTTTTGTCACACAATTCATTTCTGCTCGAATACTTTAGAAAGTGACTGTCTCTTAGTTCCACAAAATGCTCCACAAAATGCTCCTTTTATAGGCAATACATAGCCCTGTGATTCTTAAATTAAGATCAAGCTGGGTCGCAGCTCTGCATTTGCGTGTTTCAGCACGATCCACTTTAAGAGAAGAAAACATGGGAGACCACCACAGTTCCGGGAAAAGTGTATTACCATTAGTAACTGGTTATCGCTTTAGCTTATCAAATCCCAATAAATGGAGGCGAAGACTTTCACTCCGCTACCCTATCACCTTCCAGGTTTTGTGGAATGAAATCTCTTCAACGCTCACAACTTGCTCCTGAATAGCTACTGATTGTTCACCTGCAGGACAACCGGTCCAATGTTGAGCCCAGAAGATTTTCTGAAATTTCCAAAAAAAAAAAATACCTAACCTCCGCCCGCCGCGTCTCACGGTGTAGCCTTTTTCACATTCGCATGCCGTTAGAACCACTTACCAGCAATCATAAGCACCGAAGATGTCAGAGCAATGGCCTAACGATTCACCGGCGGATTTCAGCCATCAATTATGTCAACAGCTTACTGCTACTGAACTCTTAACCAGCGCGCTCATATGTGCAATCGCCAATGAGCTTAAGCACAGACTTAAACACTTGAAGGTTTTGTGTTTGTAGGTACGAGTGTGTTGGTAAGTGAAGGTGAATGCGCTTGGCATATATTATCAAAATTATGTCAGAGTTGTGCTTCAGCTCCACTTGCAAGCGACGTCCACGAACGAGAGACTAAGAAAATTTTCCAGCCTACCGACATTCAGTCATGCATTTATATGTACTCATACATACTAGTATATATGTACATATATGAGTCTTTCAACATACGACAATTTAGCTAGTGAAGCAGCCATGCGTTGAGCTAACTAACAGACCGAGCAGGCAAAGCAGCCGAGGAGCCGAGCAGCCGAGCAACCAGTCGACCTGATTGGCAGTCAAGTTAGGAAGTTAAGAGCGCAGCGCCGTCCACACCAAATCTAGGCGTATACTTGTTGGTATGTAACTAAACAGCCAACACTTGTCGGGAACTTTCAAGGCAGCAATAAATAGTAAGGATTTTTTATGTTATTATAAAAGAAACTTTTAGAATTTTGAAATTCCTGCAAAAGCCCACCACTTTCAGGCATTAGTTATGTGCAAATATAAGTAAATGAAGGCACCTATATTTAAATAAAGATGCATGTATGTATGTATTTCCTAAATATATTGGTATTAGGGTTTATTCGGAGAAAAAATAGTGAGTGCATTTTTCGATTAAAAATTATTTTCAATATTTTTACTTAAAAGTTATGAACGCTTCTCTTAGTTACATATTTACTTTCGTTTCATCTGGAGTTACTTTAAGCATCACTTATGTGATTTTGACGCCTATTGGATATACTAAAAATGAGCAAGTCGTTTTTAACTGACCTCTCCAAAGGAATTAAAATTGTCCTATTCCTTGGTCTCCACCGGGGATTACTATATTGAAAACTTTCAAAGTTTCAGCTCTTTCATCTATATTGCCGACTTGATCTAGTAAATATTTTCGTATATCTCGGTAAGCTCACCGTTTCATCGGCTGCGATATTCGTACGCAAAAGCTTTCATTCAAAAACTCAAAAAACAGACTTCGACATCCTACATGCTTCTGCACCATACAGTAGGACGGAAATGATGAGCGACTTTTGGAGTTTGGTCTCTATTACTTTCCAATTACTTACTCACTCCAAAGTCTGAAAACATTGTAGTTGGCGTTAACACTGCTTCCGAAGATAGACGAACTTATCAACGACTTTAAAATTATGACTGCCAACAATAAGGTATTGGATACGAACTCGTTGACTATTCGTTTGAGCACAGGATATAATTCGTCACCTACCAGAACACCTTATCTCTTTTCTTTCATCCTTTTTGGCGATTATACCCCGTTTTGTGTTTAGCGACTTTGGCAAGAGGTGCAATTTAGTAACTTTTCACGACACGAAAAAAGTAATTTGGGGAATATTTTTGCGGTTACTACAACAACAACAACAATAGCTCCAAATAAAAGAATCAGAAACATGTCGCGCTCATGGGTACTTACACAATAAAGATAGCCCCAATAGTGCTTTCAACAAGAGGTGACGATTCTGAGGCAAAAATTTTTTTTGTAGCTTGCCCCTCTATTGGATTCATGGGAAATCTTTTTTTGGTTGAAACCTTTTACGGTTTTTTTTCGTCTGTTATCCCATGGATACAACGGCTTACTGGCAACTGACTCCTGGATATTCCCGATCGCTCTTCAATGGTACGTTGATAGCATCCAGCTTCGGGGAATCGCAAAGCGGTTGGAGTCTTGAAGCATTTTGATGGTGTTAAAACTGAAAACAAAACGTTTTGAAAGCTGTAATATTGCCTGTTTCTCTGCAGATATTGCTGCTATTCTTGTGCTTTTTAGTTGATAAAAGAGTTGAGAAACGAAATTCTTCAACTAAATATCCTTATCATTCAAGTGGAAAGTATATTCCACTTCCCGAAGCAAACTTCTTGGAATAAAACGTTTGCCAAATACTCAGATGACATTATTTTATTATTTTTTTTTATCTATTTATATTTCTTGTAAATTATCCCGATTTACTTTACTCTAACCATAATAAAATATCAGTCTTATGTCGATGGCGCTAACAACTTCAAAATATCTCTCGCTTAGTTAGCGATTTGTCGAGTGGTTTACGACAACAGCTGATTAAGTGATCGCGAATATCATTCAAATAAGTACGCCGAATATTAAAAACTCTAAGTAATCCCGAAAAACGTTATAATACAATGGAGAATCCCATCACGGGTCCTTGCAAATCTCGACGGTCCTTTCGTTCTTGCCCATTGTAAAGCAAGGATTGGCGGCCAAAAAGCTTTTGTTGTGTGTTTGGTGATATTGACAAAGAAGAATCTACTAAGTGCTACTCCCACCCGGCCAAATTCTGAATTCGAACCCAAACTTTCAGCAATTAAACCGTCCGAAGGGAGCGATCGCCATGAAGCACACACAGATTTGACCAATGGTTGAGCAGATGTATTTCACCTGGCAACGACAGACCGCACATTTCGAAAGTGACTCAGCAGAAGTTCCAAAAGCTTGTTTGAGATGTTCATAGATACTCATCTTACAAACTGCAGCTTGCACCAAATGATTACCATCTTTCCCTGTTTATGGCGTATGAATCGTCAGGTGAAGAATTGGTCTCCAGAGAAGCCTGTGGAAATTGATTAACCCAAAGTTTTACCTGTCACTATTGGTAACGGTTCATATGAGAGGGGCCTAATGACATTGCCTTCAAAATGGCAAAAAGTTATCGAGCAAAACGGTGCGTATTTAATGTAAGTCGGATAATAAAAGGATTTTTGTGAGGAGCTTGAGTTTCATGCCACAAAAACACTCGCCGCCGAGGGATATATAAAGTATTTATATGCCCTTGAATTTCATGTAATAATATTGAAAAGCAAATTTGGTTTTCTATTAAATTTTTCTAATTATGATGCCTTGCGCCCTAATGTAGATGTAAGCTGAAAATCCGCCCGCTTGCTGCTCTCAAGGCCGTTCGGCCACATTTATTCCAACTGCCTTCAACTAATGTTAATTGCAAGTGTGGTGTGTGGGGAGTGTAGAGGTGTGCGGGAGGGGTTTTGTCGGTTGGCAAATGTGAATACTCATATTTTTCTCGTTTGCCATAAAAAGTTTTCGCACACACACGCACATACGTCCAAACATAAATATGCCGCTTGGCAGCATAAGTTTATGCAACTCGACAAGCCTTATCATTTCCCCCCGCTGCAATTTACTTGTTTGCCAGCTTCTGATTTGCTTGCTGCCTACTTTGGTTTGGCTTAGTTTCGACTTGTGCTGCCGGCTGCCTCTGCTGCCGGTTATGTCCTCTGCTTGCTACTTGCAACTTGGCAAAGTGTGCTCGGCTGCATAATTAAGGATAAGTGTGCAAGAGTTGTCGGCGGTGGCTCTGGCTCCGGCTCCGGCTTCGGCTCTGAGTGTGGCGGTTTGTCGGCGGAAAGTGCAATTGTGGCTTTGCAAGCGGCATGAAATTATTATCGTTGTCGCGCGCAAGCACAAATACATACAACACATGAGCGCACACATTTCCACCCACACACACACACAGTTATGCTTGCGGTGGATGCATGAAAAATTACTTGACATTAATTAATTAATTTCAAAGGCAATGTAAAGTTTTCGAACTTGTGCAGTTAAGGGAGAAGAAGAAGCGCGCAGTGTTTGGTTGGCTTTGGCTTCCTCGGTTTTTACCAAGTTTTAGTCACATATACGCGCGCATACATATATACACTCTGCTCTTTTCTCTGGTTTGGTGGTTCTTTTACTTTAACTGGAAATTAGAGCGCAGCAGTTTTCCGTTTGTGGGCCGTTTGAAAAGTGGTTTTTGGCTAGTTTTTGAATAGTTTTTTTTTTTTACTTGCAATAAATAATCTGTGATATTTGGTTGGAATATCATACAGAAGTTTAAACACTTTTTTATAAATTAAAATGAGCTAAAAATTTAAAATTCCACTTCCATTGAAAATTTATGAAAAGGAAGATGTCTTTAGCAGGCAAAACTGGAAAATTGTGTTTTGAGTCATAAATTTAATGCAACAGATTCACAGTTTCTGTGATTTTGAGTGATTACCAAAGTCTCATGAAGGAAGTTAAAGCATTTAATTTATTGTAAGGGAACTTTTTATTGAGTTGATGCAACTGTTGGTTAGTGATCAACGCACTTATGCCGATAGGTTCATTGTGAAACTGCTGTGAGGCTCAAAAAAGGAACTAGGAACAGGTGTTTATTCGCGCTAAAAGTTTGTCTTTGTCTTGTCAGTACGTTGTGAGCGCTCGTCAAAAATGGACACCAACAAAGAGAAAATTCGCTATATTTTACAATTTTCCTTCGATCAAGACGAAAAAGCAGCCAAAGCGGCTGAAAAACTTCATTTAGTTAATGGGCCCGATACTGTGAACGAACGGCTAGCCCAAAAGTGGTTTGCTAGGTTCCGATCCGGAAATGTAGATCTCGAAGATGTACTAGGTTTTGCTGTGCGTTTGGTGGGATTGGCAAGGATTCAACTACTACGACCTGCTCCCCTATGGTCAAACGCTCAATTCGACCCTCTCCTGCCAACCAGTGGACCGCTTGACGGCAGCACTCATCCAGAAGAGGCCATCTTTGATCAACATAGGCCGAATTGTGTTACATCAGGACAAATTCAGGCCACACACGTCTCTGCTGAAGCGCCTGAAGCTCCAGGAGCTCGGGTGGGAGGTACTAATGCACCCACTTTATAGTCCGGACCTGGCAAAAAGTAATTACCATATTTCCTGTCCATGGCAAACGCGCTTAATGGTGAGAAGTTGGTCTTAAGAGAGGCCTTGGAAAATTGGCTCTCCGAGCTTTTATTTATTGTTTATATACATCAAGACGCATACCACAAATTCGAGGCTGAGCTCCGCCGAATACCGTTTTAGCTGTTACAAGCGTCGTCTCTAATTATGGCTATGGATCAGTGGTCGAGAGTGTTTGTGTGTTCTCATTCACTTCCGTTCGTAATTCTTGTGGAAAAAATATTGTAGACGCACATACTGGAGGTGGTGTAATCAAGCTTCTTCGCCATTTCGGCAAGAGATGATATTTTAGCGTGCTCTTTACTGCAGTTCTTCAAAGGTTTAGTTGCATTTAATATAATTCCGCTGCAGCTAGTTCGTAATGTGCAGCACAGGTCCAACAAAAAGAGAGTTGAAGAGGTTAGCAGTGCTTTTGAGGGAGTCGATGGCTACGAGAATAACAGCTGATCGTTGAACTCTCTCTGGCTTGCTCCTGAAAGTAATTTTCTGACTGCCGGCCACCATACGACGACGTTTTGGAGTAAGATTAGTCTAACTACTACCTAACTTTTCCTTTCACCGTATTGTAAGCGAGCACCGTGGAGTTATAGCCTACCCCGACCTTTTTGACGTATTTTCGATCCAGTTGAGTTTGATATCCAAGATGATCTCAGGATATTTGACCTCGATAGGGAGGGTTACCTCAGCGTCTTTTAGTGGAGGTAGCTTAAAACAAGCCGGCTTGTAAACCATTTGGTTTTTCTATGGGCTAACATCCAGCCTACTGTCCTCACATCAGATCCCTGCTGCATGTATGAAGGGCATTTTTGGAACAGATAGCTTAATGTTTATAAGTCTCTACCTGTCGCTGTTAGAGCAATGTCGTCATCGTATGTTACCAGATCGCACTCTATGCTTTTCAATTGTATAGTGTTGTTGTTGTTCTGAGATGCAACTATAATTGATTTTACTTCTTAGAAGCGGCTATAAGACATGCTGTTGGTTGTGCCTCAAATATCAAAAACAAAGTAAATCAATGAGTTTGGTATATTTTTACTTCATTATTAATTAATTAATATATAATTTGATTTCATCTCTTTTTAATAGATACAACTGCTTTCGGATAATTTTGGCCTACAATTTAACCCTGCCAAAGCCAGTGATACGGCCGAATACTTCTGCTTGGTCAACGATCGCCATATTCCGGAGGCGATCGTAGACTTACTGGTGCAAGGTGAGTTCATACAAAAAAGCTTTCTTATTATTTAAAAGTATTTTTATTACAACAATTATATACATAATTAACATGTTATAAAAAAAAATAGTTTAAAATTCAAAAATACCTTGAAAAATAAAAATAAGATGGTTTACCAAAATTTTTTCACATTGATTTATGCTAGACAGGTTTTTGTTTGATATACATACATATTCTTATTTACTTTTACCCAGATGTTCCGGATCCTCCAGAACGGCCGCTTCTAATTAGTTTCACATCGCGTTCCGTAAACTTATCTTGGGCGCATTCTCAGCATCCCCGAAATGCACCAGTGACGCATTTCGTCATCGAAACACGGTGAGTTGTGACTAATTTAACTTTAAATCATAAGTATTTGCATATTACATGGAATATTAGGTAAGGTAAAAATTTGCAAAATCTTTTATGTTGTTTTATATATTCATTTTCAGGTTTATTTTTTTAATTAGGTTTTTCTCAATTAGTTTAAATTAATCAAGTATTTTGTTATCATTTTATTTAATTTTATTTTATTTTATTTTATTTTATTTTATTTTATTTTATTTTATTTTATTTTATTTTATTTTATTTTATTTTATTTTATTTTATTAATTCTTACTTAATTTATTTACGTTACATTAAGTCATACGTAATTGGGTTTTGCTAATATATGTATTCACACAAATTGCTTCATTTAAGAAATTTAAATTTTTGCTCTTGGTTTTCCAAGCAAAATTTCCATTTTAATTCATAACTTATTGAGAGCAGACAACTACGTATGCACTTTAAATTTTTTTTACGAATGTATGTGTTCGAGTACATTTGTTTCATTTTCCATTGAAATTTGTAGCAACAGTTTTACATATCCGCACAATCGCATGACAGACCCACATATTCAAACATTCACTCCAACACTTACATCCTCATTCTGCAGCTAAAATGCAAGCAGCCATATAACAGTGTAACGCCGTAATGTGTTTACATTTGTATGCATCATAAAGTGTATTGCATGCAACAGCATAAAACCGTCATGAGATAGTTGCAGCAGCGAAAGCAATGCAATACGAAAATGTGATGAGATGAAAGTCGAGTGGGTGAGCGAGCAAAGAGGCCGGCAGCCAACCAGCCATGCAACACACCCATCTATCTCCTTCCTCGGCGCCAGTACTCGGCACACTTTCATCATATTTCTCTGCATACCGTTATGTGCAGCAGCTCAGCAATCGCATTTGCAGCAATTTAATGCGGTAGCAACTCCCCAACGACGACGACAACGGTAAAGTGAAACCGTTAAAAGTGAGAAAAAAAAATACAAAAACAAAGAACTTACACGTTGCATTACCGTTAAAAACTGATAGCGCGAATATAGCGCAGTTGTGCTGTGTTGCCTGTCAACGCGCTGACGAGCACCCCTCGCCGCCAATCCATCATCAGCGAAGTGCCCACCAACAGAGACATTGGCGACATCAGCGTCATACGCCATCATCAGATGTATCAGCAGCAAACGCGATGACTTTCATTTTAATTAATATGCTGGGCGTTCGATGCTGGTGGATGAGATGGGGAGCGGGTGTTAGTACCAGGGGAAGGAAGTGATATGGTATGGGAGAAGATTTTTCGAATATATAGGTATGTAATTGCTTAAATATGCGCATGTATTGTGTGCCAAACGCTTCTGCAAAGGAAGAATCAATACAACCCTGGAGGAAAAAGCTGTATCTTTAATGATTTCACCTGTATAAGATGACGTTAATAACATTTTTAAGGAAGATTACTGTTGAATACAATCCACTGGATATAAATCGGCCACTATTTGTTCTACTACTATTTTTACCATAACTGTTTCTTCTACTAAAACGTACCCATGAAAACACACAAGAATATTATCTACAATATATCTATTATTCAATATATATACATATGCACGCATATTGTTTTGTTATATTTTTTCATTTATCGGTTATTATCTGCTTTAATTGATAAAATAGTGAAATATAAGCAATTGAATTTTAAGTGCATTGCGTTGGTTATGTACGTACGTACATATGTAAGTACATATTCGCCGAAATTTTGCCTTTTACTAAGTTTTCAGCTACTGCTACTATATATTTTTATTATTATTTACCTACTACCTTTTTCTACCACAACTTTTGCAACTACTATTTGTCTAAAACTATTTTCTAACTACCTTTTTCACTCTAACTTGTTTACTACTTTTTACCTACTACCTTTTTTCAGCAGAATTTTTGCTACTATTATTTGTCTAAAATTATTTTCTTAATACCTTTTTCACTCTAACTTATTCTACTACTAATTTTATAACATTATTTTCGTACTACCTCTTCCACAATATCGTTTTCTTCAACCATTTGTTTGTTTATATTTTTCGACTAACAGTTTTCTACTACTATTTTTCTACTACTTTTTTCTACTACTATTTTCGCCAGAAATTAGCTTCAGTGGTTACAAATCGCCAACTATATATGCCACTTTTTTCCTTTTTCCTATTTTTTCCCCACTTCTCTTTAACACTACTCTGGCAATACCAACATTATGATTTCTGAAGTAATCGGTGCATATTGTAATTTTTCTAGTATTCAATACCCATTTCGGCGTAACCTTTCTACTTCATACAAATGTATATTTCTAATAATATTTAACGAGAGAAGGACCACATTATCCACACATTTGTATTTATTTCCAATGATTTATTTCCGAATTGGTTGGAATAAAATTAAGTTATTTGAAAATTCAGGAGCAATGAGCAATGAGTACTTTCATGTATAAATATTTTAGAGATAATAATGAATTAAATTGTACATATGTACATACACATATATAGACGTATATGTAGGAAAATAAGAAGTAAATGAAGGAGTAGTAATAGTTGGGGAAGAAGAAGCTGAAGTAGAAAAACACCAACAAGCAATGTGCTAGTTGTAAAGTGCAAATAGGAAAAAGTAAAACAATTCGCCAGAGAACATCTTTCAAAATGTTGCAATGCTCGATGTGGCTTAACCTACAAATGCAGTCAAGCGCCGAAATAGGCACATTTACATACATTTGCGGGTACAAAATATGTTGCATTATATTTTTGAATAATAAATATGCTACGTATGTATTACGTGTTTATATAATTTTTACGTAAGCCTTTACGGTTGAACTAACAGCAAACATTTTGCCAAAAATTTAAATTTTTTTTATATGCAAATAAGAAATCTGAGGAACCTTTTCTTTAAATCAATTAAATAAACTGGTTTGGCTGCTGTGATAGAGGAATGGTTAGTTTAGGCAGTGCCGTTTTGATGACCGGGTCGACTGAGATCCAAAATTACAGAAAATTCGGTGGAGCTTTTTTTCTTCAGAAACAAGGCTGCAGATCACTGAGTTGCCCACAATTGATGTGAAGTCAACCAGAAGACAGCACTCACATTTGTTAGCAAAGCACAGCTACTGAGGCCATGAAAATCCTCTTAGAAATAATCCCCATTAACGTTATTATGACTATGAGCACACTGATAAGTTTTCGCCTGCCTGAAGAGACCTCCTAGGGCGTTGCCTTCATCGACTGCACGAATTCACGAGTTGCATTAGATTGCTTCAGATAAGCAGGTTCTTTCGGCTACCGGATCACTGTTGTGTTCTTCAAACGGAACTCCCGGATAGGCAAGATTTTTTAATTGCCTAGATTTAATGGTACTCTCGGTCAATTGAATCTATATAATCGTTTCATTCTAGGATTGGCAAATAATCTTAAGAGGTCAATGAAAACAGAATCTTGAATTGTTGCTTTATAACTAGGCCAATGTGGATGAGATGGAATGAGAGAAGGTTGTCGTCAAAAAGAAAGCAGATATTTAAATCGGTGGACAGGACATCATCCAATAGGCAAGCGCGTAGAGCCCCAGGTACCATCGCAAAACTTCTGCAAGCATTGCAGCGAGCACGAAGAACCTAAAACCTGTGACAGCTTCTTCGAAGTCATTATGTGTGGCCACCTTTGTAAAATTAAAGCGAAATAGCGTCTTGCCTCCACAGTTTAATTGAGTGGCCACTGGAGGCTAATAGGATCCTGCTTGGTGTCCTAAGTGAGTTGCTGTTCAGTAGCCACTTCTATCAATTAACCATGTGAAAGTAATCGAAAGCTAAATTCTTTTAAATATATTATTGTATTTTACTGCAACCCTGTATGGAAATGCTTAAAATATTTTGACAACTTTAGATATCTCTATAGAAAAGTAGCTCGGTTCCCGTTTCAATGGAGAAATGAGTACAGATCTGCTAGAAACAAACTAGTTAAATACTAGTTTAGACAAAATGAAATGAGTACAGATCTGCTAGAAACAAACTAGTTAAATACTAGTTTAGACAAAATGGAATGACGCACTATTCTAGTGCTTTCCACTAGCATGATTCTTAAATAGAATATTGGAGGGGTAGAGTATATTTTAAATTCCATTATTAATTATAAAGAAGATAAAATTGAGGACAGGGCTAAGCTTTTCTTCTTCTTCCTAAACAGAAAATAATACAACATATTTTGGATAATAGTGCATTTTTTTTTAATTTGAGTAAAGTTTTCTGAAATTAATTCCATGACGGCAGGAAAAGCAGAGTACGAGTACTAGTGTGAACGTTCATATCTTCCAGTCTTGGTCCAACCAACAGCAATAAATTTTAAAAAATTAATGTAAAGAAAGAGAAACTCTCGAAATCGGCAACGCAAACTCAGGAGCATTAATGATAGAAATATATGCTAATATGAAGGAGTAAAAAACGAGCTGATGGAAAATAAAATAAAAGTCCACTCATTTGCGTCATTGGATTTAAATAGAAAAAAAACATATTTTAATAAATGCTGAGCTTTGATTTTCTCTCTGCCAATGGTGTATTACACTAAAATGGAATAAATATTAATAAATAAAGTTATCAATTAAATAAAATATATGAATTGTCAAGTTCTTAATCACATTTAAAGCCTTTTGTTAAATGAACTCCTCTGAATAAAACTTATGAGAAATTTATAGACTCCCAAAAAACCAATAATAAAAACAACAACAACAGTGAAGCAAAAAAAAAAATTTGTTAAAAGTAGAAAAAAATGTAAGTAACTCAAGCGCACTTAACAACCATTAATGAAGCCACAGCAACACAAACAACAACAACAACAACAGCAACAAGAGGAGTGCCGAGGCATGAGCAAAATATTAAGCTCACTCCTACATAAGCTGTAGCATGTAAACAGCCTGGGAAAGCCACCACAAAGCATGGCCAATACGCAAACAACATTATAGACCGTTGTGCATGCGCCTCAACGTATGCTACAAGCGAGA